TCCCTCCCCTGGCAGTTTTCTACTACTCCTAATTCCTTTCTTGTAGTATTATGATAATTGTTCAATGTTCACTTTTGAGTGAGCACATATGGTGCTCTGTTCTTTGTTTCTGTGATAGATCGCTGAGTATGATCAAAGTCTGTATTCTTAATTATTGTCTTCCCAGGGGTCTGTATGAGACCCACATTCTTCTGTTGTTGTTTTCATTCCCCCTCCACTTATTTTCCTTCTTCTTTAACTCTGTTGTTCAGTGATGGGGGCTAGCTTTTACTTCTATTTGCTTAATCTCCGATTCTTCCTTATGTAGATCCTCTGAATTTGTTCAATTTTAAAGCTTTACTGGGAGTGGAGGGCTATGCTTTTTGCAGTATTGAGATTTGATTAAGGGAGCAGCTGTGGTCCAGAAGCGATCTGCAGGTTCCATTGTCTGCCGACAGGTGTGGGCCTCCTGGAACCCACTTTCCACTGCCTTACAATCTGTCCATGAGATGGGGTTGTATGTTTGCCCCATGAAAGCACAATAAAATAAGAAAAAGGAGAATAATGGAAAAAGGAAGGAGAAAGATGAAAGAAATGTGAAAAATGAGAGGAAGGAAAACAGACAGGCACACCAACTAATGAATGAACAAAGAAATAAACAAAGACAGAAAAAACAAACAAAAAATCATGCAAGCAATCATATAAACAAACAAAAAAACCCCGTTGATGTACTCACCCTCGAGAACACCCATACACAAACAGAAAATCTAAAAAACAACATTAAAGTAACAGAAACAAAGCAAATACGAAAATGTAAGCAAAAACAGAAAGAAAGAAGAAAATAAACAACAACAACAGCAACAAACCCAAAAAACAAATAAAAAACAAACACTTGCTCTATGGCCATATCTGGAACCTCTGTTTCCTTTTCCAAGCACTGTCACTATTTTTGGCTGCTACCGCTTTTGGCTGCCACCACATTAAAGAGTGGCAACAGTCTCCAGCCCATCCCCTTTGCTCTCAGCACAGGTTGATAGGGTTGCTCTCAGGGTGGGTCAGATGCCCCCTGGACTGCTGTGGGAGGAGGATGAATCAGATCTGGACTCACCCACCTTGTCTGCTGCTGCTGCTGTGTCAAGTGTCTTACTCAGATCAGTTTCTGTGTCTGTCCCAGCATGGAGGAGAGATAGATGTCTGTCTCTCTGAGTCTGATGATTGATCGCAGAGGAGTGGGGGGATAGCCTCTAGCTCTCAGGTTGGAGGTTGGTCAGAGCTTGGAGGGGCAATGCAGGTCTCTGCCTGGTCCCAGGACAGAGAAGATGGCACTGGCCAGCATGTTCTCATTGACAGTGAGGCTCAGTTCCAGATTTCTTCAACCTGCCTTCTCCATGTTCCTGCTGCTAGTGCCTGGTCTGCTGCCATAGGTGATGGCATGGGCCAGGTGTCAGGTGGTGGAGCAGCTGTTTTCTGCTGTCTCTTCTCAAGAGACCCCCAAGAGTGACAGACTATCCTGCACACTGGGGACTCCAATCTCAGGGCAGTGGTGGTTGCAGTCACCTCTGGAGGAGAGCCTCAGGTGTATGAACCCGAGTCTCCCCTCAGACAGGCTTTCACTCACTCACTGGCACACACCCACCCACATAGTCTTTACAGACACTAGCTTTTGCAGAGACTCTGACACTCTGACCAGTCCCATTGCCATCTTGCCCAGTCTCCTCCAAAATAATTTCTTTCTTTTTTTTATTATAAATATGTGGGATACAATTCAGGGTTAGGTATACAAACGTTGATTATGCAGGTACCCTTGTTGATGAGGTGTGCCCTTCCCTCCCCAGCAGGTTCCCTCAACTGCCAATCCCACCTTCCTCCCCTGACAGTTTCCCACTACTGCCATTCCTTTCTTATGGTATTATAATTGTTCAAGTTTCACTTATGAGTGAGAACATATGGTACTCGCAAAATAATTTCAAAGGGTTTACGTGACAGGATGAAAACAACACAAAGCAGAGTGGAGAGTGACGTGCAAGGTCAAGGAATGTGTTTCAGGAGATGACAGTTGATGCCAAGATAAGGAAAAAGGGCACTCTAGACTGAGCAGACTGGTGGTCTATGGAGGTCTTTATGATTGAAGGGTGACTCTGTGAGGAGTTCTTATATGACCTATGTGATGAGGTGAAGTCATAAAAAGAATGGGAAATAGAGCTTTTCAGACAGAAGTACATTGAGGAGAGAGTGGTCATCTTGTCCCAGTGTGCTCTGGACTTTCTTGATTTTCAGTTCTCTAATTGCTGTGTTCTGGGAAGTTTCTCAGCCCCAGGCAAATCTGGATATTAGCCACCCTAGTTAGAGGTCTAAGGCCTATTAGAATATGAGGTCTACTGAAAAGTCAATAGTCAAACTGCAACCAGGATCACTGGCAACTTGGCATGGACCACACGAAAAGAATTACAGGTATTTAATTTGTAGTAGGGTTGCTGTGACTTACCATGGCCAGAAAAAGGCCTAAGCCCAGTCAATTCCATTGTAGCTGGTCTTTAACTATTATGTAGCCACATATCAACCTTAAGTTGCTATTTTATTCATGCTTAACAGACATAAATAAAACCAAAACACAAATAGGCATTTGTCCATCCATGCATGTACGTTCTCCGTCTATACATGTATATAATTAGATCTGCAAACCCCTTTGTCCCCTACCTCAGGATAATATAATATTGAGATAAAAATATTTATCCTGCTCTTTTCATCATCCTTCCATGCCACCATGGCACACATGAATGTCCTAGCTGATGCTCTCAAGAGCATCAGCAATGCTGAAAAGAGAGGCAAATGCCAGGTTCTTATCAGGCTGTGCTCCAAAGTTATCATCCAGTTTCTAACTGTGATGATGAAGCATGGTTACATTGGCAATTTAAAATCATTGATGATTACAGAGCTGGAAAAATTGTTGTGAACCTCACAGGCAGGTTAAACAAGTGTGACATGATAGCCCCAGATTTGATGTGCAACTCAAAGATCTAGAAAAGTGGCAGAATAATCTGCTTCCATTCCACCAGTTTGGTTTCATTGTACTGACAACCCCAGCTGGCATCATGGACCACGAAGAAGCAAGAAGGAAACACATAGGAGGGAAAATCCTGGGATTCTTTTTCTAGTGATGTAATGCATATATAAAAGTAAAAAACCTCAGTGGAAAAAAAATATATTTATCCTTGACAAATTCCCCAAACAAGAAATTCATGCCTACTCCTACTATTTATAGCCAGGCCCTATGTAATCTATTCTCCTATACCCAATTGTAACTTCAGCTAGAATCAAACTTTAGCCAAACTCTCAATGAAAAGCATTTTAAAAAGTTAACAAGTTTTAAACAAAATTTAGGCTTTCTAGGCTAAATTTTTTTCATTCTATTTATTTACTAAATATTGCCCCCAAACTAACATAGCACTTCTGGTTAGCATAAAAATTTTTCCAAGTTTAAGTTAATGTAGCTTAATACACTAAAGCAAGGCACTGAAAATGCCTAATTGAGTTCATACAATCCCATAAATGTACAAGTTTTTGGCTTTTTAAAAAATTGATTTCTAGTAAACATGCAAATGTCCACACTCCAATGAGAATGCCCTCTAGATCACCCAAGAGTAAAAAGAGCAGACATCAAGCAACTGTAACAGTAACTCATGACATCTTGCTCATAAGAAACAGCAGTGATAAAAATAAAGCAGTAAAAGTTTGACTAAGTTATATTAGTTTTTCCTAAGGTTGGTAAATTTCATGCCAGTTACCATGATTAGCCCAAATTAACAAAATAATGTTTTGTATGCTTAAGCATAAAACGTGCTTAAGATTCTTATTCCCAATAAAGCTAAACTTTAAGTCAGAAAAAGCTGCAGCTGAATTAAAAATAATCTACGAAAGTGACTTTAATGCTTTAAAAACACAATAGCTAAAAGCCAAACTGGGATTAGATACCCCACTATGCTTAGCCATATGTGTATATAACCCATTAAACAAAGTTATTTGCTGGAATGCTATAAGCAACAATTAATACCTTATTGATTCTGAGACATCCAGGCATACAATATTGTGGCTCTCAGTAGCACCCTAGCCTTAGCTCAACTTATTAAAAACTAATTAATCTTATATTTAATAAATGTTTCTCTGCAGCCAGAGAGAAAAATCACTGACCCATCTGTTGCCATACAAATAGCACTCACATGCATACAGGCACCCAACACATAGATACACTACACACAACTAGCATTCATGGGAAAAATGGAGACCTGAAAAGGTATGCTGTGAGGCCACCATGGTTGAAAGTTGGACATCTATTTGGAGAGAACATTGGAAAGGTAAGTAGAATTTAGGACACAATTTTTAATTTAATACACTGTGTTCTCAAGGCAAGTCCCATTTTTATCTCTATCTAGTTAGATCAGTGCTTGCGCTGGATGAATGAACTAGTTTTTAACTCTAACTGGGTAAGCTACCAGCTAGAGCTTTAAACAAAGTTGTATGTCATGATAAAGAAAGATATTTGTGTCATAACTTACAATAAAAGGCAGAGGGTGGGAGTATTTGGAACTTTTCTTTTTACATGTTCTCCTATATATGATAATAGTGGGCCAGGCATTACTGAAATAAAAATTATTTTCTCAGTCATAATAGACAGCTCCAAACGGTGGTCTTCCGGTTTTTTTGGTGGCGGGGATGGCGTGGAAAAACACATAGACACACACAAGTTCACCTGAGACAAAAATTCGTTCATATATTTTAACGCATCAGAAGAAAACAAAGAATTTAAGCCTGATTAAATCCTTGTATCTTTTGTACACTTCTCTCTATGTGTGTCTAATTGTAAGATACTTGTCTTGACTGTTATCTTGTGATTATGTTCATCCCTGCGGTCATCCAATCTCTGGTAGAACTGTCCTGGTGAAATTTGGATATGTAGAATCAGCTCCCTGGATATCACTTCCAGCAGTATGTCTAGTTGTCCCATATGCAGAAGTAAATGTCAATTAACTGTCAACAAGAGATATCTGAGAAGGTGGTGGCTTGGACTCGGGAATTTTCTCAGTGGAAGTCTCAGAAGCAGTGGCCTTGGTAATAGTGTTTCCTCTAAATGTATGGTCTTCAAATGTTATTGCATCTGGAAACCTAGTTATTGAGGTACCAGTAAAAGTTTCCCAATCTGTGTAATCAAATGTTATATCATCTATGTGGATCATGGGAGGTTCTGGCCTTCGAAGGTGTTCATACGACCATATTATGGAAATGCAGCATGATAACTTGTTCCTACAAAGACGTATGTACCTTTCAGTATCTAAGCATCGTCTTCTGCAGTATCCTACATTATTCTTCCAGCATTTCTGGGGTCCAAAGCTAGCTGCAAGGAATAAAATGTAGGTCAAAATTTTAACTCCAGCATCAACATAACAACTTTTCATTCGTTCCAAAACTTGCAACTATTCCACTGCCATCTAGATTAAAATGATGACAAATACTAAAAGCCACCGAGGAAGACAAACAAGAGAACAAAAAGTGTATATTAAAATTGTGACATGCACCATCAAAGAAGTTGGGTGGAGGAAAGGGAGGGAGGGAAAAAACAGAGAGAAAGAAAGGGGCTGGGGAGAGAGAGAAAGGGAGAGACACCCCCCCACACACACACGCAGAGAGAGAGAGAGAGAGAGAGAGAGAGAGAGAGAGAGAGAGAGAGAGAGAGAATGGAGGCATACTTAAAGCTGATATTTAAGCCCAGATAAGAAGGATGAAAATGAGCTAACAAGGTACACAGGAAGAAAAGACTGACAGAAAGATTCAGGAAAGGAGCGGTAAATGATCAGTCTCAGTGTTGAGGCAACTGCTTAGTGTATTTAAGGGGCTTGAGGAAATCTGACAAACCTGAAGTGTAATGTGCAATTAAATAAAGTGAAGAGATTCTCCTTCAAAGTTTTATGTATCAATTAAATATAAATGAACTAGGTTTATGTACTAGTAAGATGTCTCTAAGATCACTAGTACATTGCAGAATAACTCACATGGTTTGTTTACAACTGTATTTTAAAAAATCTAAAACTGCCGGGAGGGAGCCAGGGAAGTGGGATTGGCAGTAGTGGGAATCTGCCTGGGAAAGTGGGGGCACACCTCATCAACAAGGGTACCTGCATAATGAACATTTGTATACCTAATCCTGAATTGTGCCCCACATCTTTAAAATTTAAAAAAAAGAAAAAAAAAACTAAGCCATTCTTAGGTAAACCAAGAAGGTTGGTCATCCTACTTGTGAACCAGTTCTCTATCTTTAAATTTGAGGAGGCTTCAAACATTGAAATAGATGTTTAAAAAACAGTGCACAATAAGTTGATTTTAAGAAATATTGGCACTAATAGCAATTCTTCAACTCCGTATTTTTAAAACTCTTTAAACCTTTTCAAACTCAGTAAAAAGTGCATTTTACATCACACACACAAAAAGATCTTTTCCTCCCTCTTGAGGTCTTTATACTCACTAAAAAAAAAAATCCCGTCTCTCTTTGCACCATTCATTTCTCCCTTCTCCTTGATCTTTCACAACAGCAGTCAAACATGCTCTAGTATCTAAAACTACTCTTTTGGTTGACCATAACATTCCTTTTTAGCCACCACTCTATTTCTATGCTACCCTTTGCAGCAAAATGTCTTGAAAGAGTTTGGGATGTCACACCGTCTCCTGGTTCTCCAGTAACCCCACTGGTTGCTTTTTCTCAGACTCCTCTGTGTCCTTGAACTCTCCTCTAGAAGTTGCCTTGTCCTGATCATCTTCTGCTTCTTGCCATTCATGTTTCCATGATGATCTTACTTAATTTTATGGCTTTAAATTCCATCTACATGTCCTTGACTCTCAAAGCAACATATCCAGTCCTGGCCTCTCCCCAGAACTCAAGGCTCATCCATCCAATGGCTTAACTGCTAGCTCCGCTTGGATGCCTACCAGGCTTCCTGAGCTCAGTGTGGCTAAAACTGATTTCAAATTCTTTTTCTTCTCCCCCAGCCTGCCCCATTTCCATGAATTGTTCCAATTCTACATAGTTGTTCAGGTAAAACAGTCTAGGAATTGTCCTTGAGTCCTTTCTTTTCCTCTCTATCTCCAATCCATCAGTGAGCTTCTATCAACTCTATCTCTGAATTCTATTTGGAATCTACCACTTCTTTCCTCCTGCACAAGCCTCCTCCACCTTAGTCATTGTTGCCTGGACCTCCGCCTTAGCCTCCTGACTGATCTTCCTGCTTCCACTCTCATCCCCTACAGGAAACATTCTCCATACAGCAACAAATAATCATTTCAAAAATGTAAATAAGATCTTGCTAATCCTCTGCTCACAACACTTGATTAGGTTCTCATTGCATGCAAAATAAAAACCAAGCTCTTTACTTGGTATGTAAAGCTCATCATTACCTGGTCTCCTCCTACTTTGAGGACCTGAGCTCCTACCACTTTTGCCTTGCTCACTTCAACTGCACAGGTCTTTTTAAGGTTCTCGCACATCACATATCAAGCTCTTGCCTTCTCTTCCCTGAGTACTTTTGCACACACCTCCACCCTTTGCATGGTGGCTTCCTCTTTTAATTCAGGTCTCAGTTTAAATGTGTTCTCCTTGGTGAGGATATCCAGCCAAACACTATCATATCAACCTATTTTTATTCATTGAAAATAATTTTTTACTATCTAATTGTTTTATATTTATTGGCTTATTTATCTGTCTCTACCTGATCAATCTCAGCCCCCAATTAGAATGCAAGCTCCATGAAAGCAGAAGCTTTTCTTTCTTGTCTCAAGGTTTCATCCCCCACAGCCTGCCCCTAGGCCCTCAATAAATATTTGTTAAAAGAAAAAAATCAGCTGGGCTCGGTGGCTCAGCCTGTAATCCCGCGCCTTTGGGAGGCTGAGGTGAGTGGATTGCCTGAGTCCGCGGGTTCGAGACCTGCCTGGGCAGCGAGACCTCATCTCTACAATAAATAAGAAAATCAGCCGGGCGTGGTAGTGCATGCCTGTAATTCTGGCTACTTGGAAGGCTGAGGCAGAAGGATCGCCGGAGCCCAGCAGGTCGAGGCTGCGGTGGCCGGGAGCGGCCACTGCACTCCAGTGTGGGCGATAGAGTGAGACTCCAACTCAAAAAAAAAAAGAAAAAAAATCTAAAAGGTACACACACACACACACACACACACACACACACACACGTGTAAACTGCTAGGATATACAGGAAATTGTTATCATTGATTCTAAAGGGAAAGCCTGAAAAACTGGTATTCTTGGATAAGATAATACTTTTCGTTTCCTTAAACCCATATAAACTTATCAATCCCCTGATATGCAAATACATTCCAAGTATTATTTTTTTAATAAAAAATAATTTTAAAAAGCAGTACTATTAAAAAGTGGGAGCAAGCTCTTCGTATTCACCTAAAATTAGAAGCTCCTCTTTAGTCCCTGGTCTTTCCACACTGTCTTCACTCCACTTATCCTCACTTCCATCTCAAACTTTCATGTTGTCTCTTCCATATGATAGCTCTACAGAATCTACAAATTTCAAAGGACTTGTTAACCATATCTAAGAACATGAAAACTAAGGTCTCCATTTGAAGATACTTTTAGGGCAAAGAAGATTTCAAGATGGTAGAAAGAATTAATAAGTTACAACAATGAAATAGGTACAACAATTAAAAAATTAAAATACTAGTGAAATGAGGCTGAACTAACATTGGGTAGTTATATGGAGATCCAGAGAGGGCAGCTCAGAGCATTGAGGAAATTTTTGTCTTTGGAGAAATGTCTCAGAGGATACCCCAGCTTGCTAGATGTCCCTAACAGAAAGATTCTCAGAGGGTGGGGCACAGAGCTGCCAAAATAAGGGCATCTCTGCTTACTTTGCTGGCCCAAGGCTTATCCTATAGACTCTCTTTCCCCTCAAGATACTGGGGGAGGGGGAAATGACTCATCCCAGCTCTGTTATCCCCACTTTATAGGGTTCCATTACCTTTGGTCGCCTGAGTTAGTAACCCACAGATAATGAAGGTCAGCAGTAGAAGATTCATGGCTTCTGGGAGAGAGGAAGCTCTATGCTCTGAGGACTACAGAAAACTCTGCACAGCTAGAATTCTCTGACTGATCATCTTTACTGGTCTATCATGGGTGATGAACCAGAGAGGGGAAGAATGCCATGCCATCCAGATCACTAGACCATTAATTTGCAGCATGGAGTCTGCATGACACAATAATGCCTGGTTCTAGAAATTATTAAAGGAAATCAAAGCCGAGATAAGCTATAATCCCACAGAACTGTAAAGTCTGATGGAAAGAAACAACTCCCGAAAGAAGTCTTCTTTAACTCTAGATGGGGTCAATTTCTTCCTCTGCTTGTATACAGCACCTTGTATATACCCAATGAAAGAAGAATGGTTTGAAAAGATACCACTTGAGGCGGATCAATAGCATATGATATGCAGGAGAGCAGTCGCCTTTTCTTCTCAGTGATTGTTCCAATATAAATCCCTGTGAAACAAGAAAGACACTTTTTATTGGGTAATTTCTAAGACTCCATTGATTGTAAGACAGAAGGGATTTGGAGTAAAAACAGTTAAAATAGGAAAACAGGTCTTATTGATGCTCTTTCCACTCTACTTTTTCATCAACGCTTCCCCTCCCCATTCATATCTATATATAAGAAAAAACAAAATATTGAGGGAGATGAGTCAGTTCTTTGAGAGAAAGAGGGATCCAATGTAAAATGTTGTCCAATATAAAACTTTGTGCCCTGCCAAAGGAGAAAAATACATGAGGCATTCATGGAATTTCCCAGCAAGAGGGATCAGCATTGTATCTCCTGGAGGAGTTTGCTGAGCTGCATTTCTTCCACATGGGTTTAATACCACTGGATACTAAGGAAAGAAAAAAAATAATTTTTTAAACTCTGGGGCTTAAATTTTGGCAGATGATGAGGTACACCCCCTCATACATTTGTAGCATTGCTGAATTTTGTTTTGTTTTTCTCGTTATTTTATTTTAAACATGTGGCGTACAAGTCAGGATTAGGTCCAAAAGTGGTCTATGTGCAGGTGAAGTTTGGGTCTCCCACTGGTCCTCACTTCCTCTGGTTTAGGATTAGGTATGCTTAGTGATATTATGTGACCCCCTACCCCCACCCCAGCAGTGCCCTGCTACTGCAGAGTCCTGTCTTGTAGTATTATGATTAATGTTCAGGACCCACTTATGAGTAAGAACATGTGGTATTCAGTTCTTTGTTACTATGATAGATCACTGAGTATGATAGACTCTAACTCCATCCAAATTGCTGCAAAGTCCACAATTTTGTCCTTTATGGCTATGTAATATTCCATCATGTATATGTACCACATTTTTAAATCCAGTCCACTTTCGAAGCGCAGCTTGGTTGGTTCCATGTTTTCTTGCTATTGTGAATAGTGCTGCAATAAACATGAGTGTGCAAGTAACTTTTTTGTAGAATGATTTGAGTTCCTCTGGGTATATTCCCAGAAGGGGGGTTGCGGAGTGGTATGGAAGGTCAATTTCTAGTTCTTTTAGAAATCGCCACACTGTTTTCCATAGAGGTTGAACTAGCTTGCACTCCCACCAACAGTGTAGAAGCACTCCCTTTTTTCTGCATCCTCACCAGCATCTATTGTTATTTCATTTATTAATGATCGTTATTCTTTCTGGAGTTAGATGGTATCTCAATGTAGTTTTGATTTGCATTTATCTGGTGATTAGTGAGGCTGAGCATTTTTTCATGCATCTGTTGGCTGTCTTCCTTTGTTCTTGAAGTACAAGGAATCTCTAATGTTCTCTTCTGTTTGGGATATGGTTGGCAAAGTTGGAGAAGTGAGTTGAAAAGGTAGAATCTATATAAGAGAAAACTAGGACCTTTATTAAGACTTTTCCATGGAATGAGATGAGAGATGAGAAAAGTGACCACGCAATTGAGAGATTCAAGGTGAACTGCCAAAGTCAGAGATCACAAAAAGAGTGTCAAAGTCAAATATCATAAAAAGGTGTCAGAAAGATGCATGGTAGCATGTGAGTACTCATGCACCATGGAAGCATCACCTAATTGTGACTATCACCAATTCCATGGCAATGGTTTTCAAGGACAACAGTCACAGAGTCTTTTTTTCCTTGGACTAGCTCAGTCAAATCAGAGGTGGATTCTCCATTTTTGTGCATCTGATTTTTTAGTGCATACATTCTTTGCCTTGTCATTGATGGATGAGTCAGGACACAGTAGTTGAAGTGAGGTAAGGTGACCTAAGGACAAGGAGAGAGAAGGTCTCTGTGGTTTTTGTTAGATTCTGCGTCATTAAGAATATAATTATTAGTGATTCTTAGTAATGAAAAATCCCCGAAAAATCCATGGAATTGACTGACTCTGATTGAAAAATCAATGAAAATAGAGCCTCAGGGCCAAGAAAATTAGATTCGGTTATAAAGTAGATTTCATGACTGTACAGTTTGCATCTATTTACAATCACTGCATTTTTTTCCTATGTGAACTTTCTGTATTTTAATTGAAATTTTGAAATCTTATCACTCTCCACTAGCCTATATTATCTATATATCTCTGTGTGCTCTAATCAGATCAGAGGCACACACTAAATGTTAAATGAAAGCATTGCTTTTGTCCTGAGTTATATAAGCATATAAATATATCTTACCAACAGTACTCTAAAAAGAATCTTCTAGATAATCTCAGATTGGATATCAAATGTACAGCAGCCAACAAATACACAGCATACATGATTAATCTGCCCACTTGTGTGACCAAGACAGGCAACCCGGTTTAATCACAGAACTCCTTATGGAGGCTGAGCATAACTTCAGATTCCTTTCCAGGAAAGTCAGTATCTTTATAATCTATGACCTAGGCACAGCCTCTCTTTTACAGATGGGGAAATTGAGGTGCAAATAATGTGATCCGTGTTGTTTGCATGAGTCATAGCCAGAGAGACAACCTAATACTAACTACTTATTTTTACAAACGAGCACATTCAATCCTCAAAATGGACAATGGCTTGCCCCGGAGTAAAGCAATTTGCCCAAGGTTGCACAGTGAAAGAGCATGAAGCAAGATTTGTTCACTCCAGTGGAGAAAATCATCTGCCCAGACAAGGGGGTAAAAAAAGAAAGAAGTTATGATAACAGCAAAGACTGCCCATAAATTACCACAATGTTCTGAGAAGAAATCATACCAGTTAATGTTGTGCATGTGTTGTGGAGGTAACTTTACAAAGCATGATTATAGTTTCATCTTCTCTATAACACTCACCTGCCCTCCAGGAAGACCATTAAGTAGTTAATTTTACTGAATGTTTGACCACAAGCTATCTGGAGTCTGATAATTGGAGTGGTCTCTGAATCTGAGTCCGTCTTAGGAAAAATTTTCTTTCTTCCTTTCTCTGTTGGTGAATTATGCTTTCAGCACTATGAAAACTTGATTTTAGTATTTTCCAAAAGAGAATCTGGAGGCACTTCATGTTATCATTTTTCTAGGTTGCCTTAGAGTACCTTTGTGTTTAGGGTATAGATAGGCAAACAAGTACATATATTCCTTACCTTTTCCCTCCTGTGATGCTACATGAATCCCTGAAGTACAGTTTTATGCAATCCAACACCAAAACTTTCCAGAACACCTAGATACAACTAGAACCTTAAATGTTCTTATTAATAGTGACTTAGATAAGCACATTTATATATTATCTAAATGATATATTAAAAAATTTCCTGTTATTGACACCAGTTTTAAGCACTTACTATGTGCTAAGTTGTTGATATTCTTTATCTCATTCAATCCTTTCCGATAAACCCCAAATTGTGAACTGTTTTTTTAAATCCCAACTTAAAAATAAGAATGCTGAAGAGCTAAGTTACTTAACTAAGCTACTAAGTAACTCACAATACACAATGAATATGCAGTAAATCAAGGAGTTATACCCATGCAAAGATTACATATATTATATCACCACACTACACACATCAAGGCCATGCCTATAACTGTTGGCTATTGGAATGATGAATTATAATAATAAGGAAAATTGAATAAGAACATGATTGGCAAAGATATAATACTATAAAAATGTTCTTACTGCACTTGAAATATCATATTATTGATAAACACAATGTTCTGAGGCATTAACAAAATTAAACTTATTAATTGTTTTGTGAGCTTGAGTAACTATTCTCTGTCCTATCTATATTATCCTGGCTTTGTAGAATCTATAGCTCCAAAAGTAGAGGTGGAGGTTAGAAGTGGAGATATCTTTCTGACACAACTGATAAAGTTACAGCAGCAAGGGAATGTGAAATACAAAAGTCCTCATTAAGTTGAACAACTCAGGCAGCATTGAATATCTTCTTCCATGAAAGTGGAGTAGCAAAAGGAGAGTATGCATGTGTGTACACGTGTGTGTGTGTGACTTGTCAAGAATATTACTTCACTGCAAATTGGAGCCCCCTTTATCAGCAAACTTTTCCTATGTAACAAACCACTGCAAAATTCAGTGTCATATAACAATAAGCAATTATTTCTGATGTTTTTGTGTTGCTTGTGATACCTCTCTTTCAGTTGAGCATTTATTCATATGGTTACTAGTTGACTGACATACTCATGCCTCAATGAGTTACTGAGTCCAAGCTGGACTTTGTCGTTTTGCTTCACATTCTGTTGTCCTTCCTCTGGTGGCAATAGGGTGGCCTAGGAATATCCTCCTCTGGGCAATGGCAGAAGCACAAAGAGGACAAGTTGAAATATGTGAAATATCTGTCTGGGGATGGGGAAACACCTCTTATCAACAGGGTGCCTGAATGAAACGTAATTGTGCACCTAACCCTTAACTGTACCCCACAAAACCATAATAAAAAATATTGATTATGAAAAAATAAAAATAAAAATAAATAAAACAGTCCACTGGAAAAATGACCATGTTAAACAAGAATTTAGGTGTAAACATTTTAAAATAAAACAAAAGAACCAAAAAATATATATATATCCATACTACCCAAAGCAATGTACAGATTCAATGCA